TTTCTCAGGCCACACGAGGACAGCGCCTCTGGGGCCCCGTCGCCTCATCCGGGGTGTGTGTTCTGACCCTAGTCCACCAGCCCAGCCCGTCCGCCCTCGCAGGCTGTGACCTTGGGGGAAGTCAAGCCTGACTTGGCTTGACTACAGCAAATGGAGGCAAGATGACTTTTCTCCTGAAGACAGGGGTCTGGCCATTACTCCGGCGATCAAGGGAGACCTCTCCCTTGTCTTGCCTACTTGTCTTTCTCCTCAAATCCTGTCCCCAGGGCAGGGGGCAGTCAGGTGGCAGCGAGTTGGCGACTGGATTCCAAAGCAGCTACTGCGGGCAGTGCTTCAGACCCCCACCACGCTGAGAGCCAGGGCCCCCTCAGCAGGATACCGAGGCCGACGCTCAAACCTGGTAGGAGGTCACTCATTGCTCCCCCTGCCCAGGACGCCCAAGCCTTTTCACACCAGTACTATTGGGCACATCTTCCGAGGGCCTGAGCAGGGAGTGAGGCAGCTGCTGACCCCCAGGACTCAGTCTGACCTCAGTCAAGATTCCCCCTGCTGACTCCAGGCAACTTCGCGTTGTTTCCCTGGAACTTCTGCTGACTGCCATCTGGGCTCACAAGTTCCGTTAAGAACCAGCTCAGGCTCGGCTGGTGCGGACACGCGCACAGACGTGCTGCTCTGAGGGGCCCTGTGTGGGGCTGCCAGGCCCCTGAGGGAAGTGGCAGGGACACGCAGTGCACAGGTCGGAGGGTGATGGCTTCTGAGGCACGTCTCTTGGGGGTGGGGAGAGGTCCCACTGTGGGGCAGGTTCCTAGGTTGTTACACCCACTGTGTCCATCTCACCCCACGGCCCGGTGGAATCCACGGTGTGAAGTCACAGCAGCTCTGGAGGCCAGTCTCCCTGGCTGTGTGCTCCTGAGCCAGCCAAGGCCTTCAGGCACTGCCCTTGTCTGAAAAATGGACAGGGGAGGATGAGATGGAGGGCTTCTGTAAAAGGGCTTGAATCAAATGTTTCCTTCGTCTCTGTCCTTCAGGGTCTGGGACTTCTTCTTAGTGTCGTCCCAAGCTCCCAGGCTGAGGAGCCCTAGCTGCCAAGGCCTGCCCTCCCCTCCCTCCTTCCTGGGTCCTGGCCTCTGTGAATCATCTTAGCCTCAAAGCAAAGCTCCCTTGGGGTCCGTCCTGGTTACACTGCCTCCCCTTCCGGTCCCAGCTGTCCCGGAAGTCAGTCTTGTTTCCACTGTGCAGGACACAGCCAAGTGCCCTCCACCCGCCTTGTCCACCGACTGGCAAGGGATTGGGTGATCCGGTGCCACTCCTGATGCTTGCCCTGCCCTCCACCCTTGGCCCATACACATCACTTGCCTTTCTCCTCCCGTTCCCAGAATCATCCTGTGGCTTCTGCCCTCACCCGAGTGCAGGCCTGTGAGCCCAGCCCAGTGCAGCCACGGCCCCTCGCTCCCAGCTTGGGCCCCTCATCTGCAATAAGCTCATTCTGTTTCTCAGTCATGGGCCCTCCCTGGAAAAGTTGCAACGTTTGGGTCACTTGACTTTGCTGGTCAAAGCAGACATGAGGACTTAGCTGTCCGTGCTCTATGAGAACGGAAGGGCAGGGGGATGGGGAGGATTCCACCTGCAAGAAGCGTAGTGTAAGGGTTGCAAAATCCTCTTAGGGGTCAGTGCTGTTCCTTGCGGGGAGGGACTGCCCTCTCTCCATCTCTTGAGGGAGCTGACACCATCTGTTTGAGCTCTACTTGATGTCTGTCTTGTTCCTGTGATTGGTGGTTGCCACAGGAAGGGCTCTGGCCAGAGAGGCCCTGGGTTTGGGGGCTTGATCCTACTATATGAAGCAGTTGGCCTTGGGCTCCCCTTCGCTGGCAGTGGGCTGGACCCCGGGGCTTCCTGTCAGTGCCGCAGGGACCAGGGACAGGAACCAAGGCTCTCTCCCGGCTGGAGTCACAGCGGCCACAGCCCAGCCTAAGATGGGACCAGGGTTTCTGGGATGGCCACACTCGGAGGTGGCGCAGGTCCCGGCAGCCCCAGGGCCACCCCAGCACGTAGGTCAGCGCAGCACCTCTTTCTCTCCTGGTTCGTGATCGTGGGAGCTACTTGTGGAGGGAGCCACACGCACACACTTGCCCCGTTTCTCACTGCTGTGCTCAGCACCTCCAATCTTTCCACAGCCCTTTAGGAGCTGGGGACCCAATCCCCACCCTACTTGAGGGCTGTCTCTGTGCCCGTGTCTGCTCCTAAGATGTCCGTAGATGTCCAAGAGTCCAGCCCCATCTCCACCCAGAAGGACGGGGGTTGTGGGGGAGCTGCCCTGACGGGCCCCAAGGAGTGAGCGGCCACATCAGCGGCAGTGAGGGCAGTCTGCGGCCCCGGCCCTCAGGCGCGGGGAAGAAACAAGAGGGGCCAGCCAGCCAGTGGGAGCAGACACAGAGCCTCCGAGGGAGCCTTCGAGAAAGGCTGATGCCCTCATTTTTTATGCAAGTCGAGGAAAGCACTCTTACCCACAGCTCCCAAACAGGCCAGACTCACTGGGGCCAGAGTGGGGCGTGTCATCCCAGGGGATTCCCTGACTGCTCCCAGCAGACGTCCCCGTCTCACTCTGGGAAGCAGGAACCCAGGGCTCAGACAGGCAAGCAGGCCACTGAACGGAGCCAAGGGGAGCACACGCCCACTGCAGAATCCGGGGCTCCTGCAAAACACAGCTGTTTCCCCGGTGGGATGTTCTCCTGATTGATGGAAAGCCAGAAGGCCCACTCCCAGCTCCGCTCACAGGGGAAGGCTCCCCCAGGGCCCTCACCATCCTACCGTCCCCTTTTCCAGTCCACAGAAGACGCAGCGCTGCCACACGGGGGTTTATTCCAGTCACAGCTTCCAGAGAAACTCCACAATAAATTACATCATTAAATAAACTCTGCTGGCCACACCCCCTTCTGCCCCTCCTCCTCTCCACGTGCCCCCCTAGGTCCTGGTGGGGACTCAGCCAGGCCCACCCCCTTGCACTAGGCAGCAGGGGAGTAGCCTCAGTGGGTCCCGACGAGTGAGGGTTGAAGGAGGCTCCCCGCCCTGCTCCTCGGCCCCTCGCACTCACTTGCCTGACCTTGACAGCTGGGCAGCTGCTAGTCAGCTGTCTCCTCCGGAGGGGGTGGCGAGGAGGGGGCCACAGCCGCCCCACGCAGGCCTGTGTCCCTAGAGGTGTGTAGGGTTCTCCAGAGAAGGATCTGTCTTAGTCATGTGCAAGACCACAGTGGGGGCCTTATAGTGGCCGTGGCTGCCCCGGCCATAGCCCCCGGGGGCCCGGCAGGCCTTTGCCCGGGCCCGGCCAGCTGCCATCTTTCGGTGGCACAGGCTCTGCCAGGTCTGGAAAGTCTTGGAGCTCCACACCCAGACGCCGCTGGTGATGCCCACCACGAGCGACATGAAGATTTTGAGCATAAAGACAGCCACGGTGGGCACTGAACCCCCTTGCAGTGAGCAGTCCCTCCGGCCGCCGGGCATGGGGGCCGCCGAGCAGGCCTGCTCTGTGGCCCGCAGGCGCCAGAAGTCCATGTTGAGGCGTTCGTAGACATAGCACACAATGACGCAGGTGGCAGGCACGGTGTAAAGGATGGAGAAGACCCCAATCTTAACCATGAGCTTCTCTAGCTTCTCCGTGTTGGTGCCCCCGGTCTTCATGATCTTGCGGATGTGGAACAGGGCCACGAAGCCGGTCAGGAGGAAGCTCGTGCCCAGCACCAGGTAACAGGACAGGGGCACCAGCACGAAGCCCGTGAGCGCCGCCGCGTCCATACTGGCCACGTAACAGAGCCCGGTCAGCTCATCCCCCGCCACCTTGCGCAGCGTCAGGATAACAATGGTCTTGAGGGCTGGCAGGCCCCAGGCCGCCATGTGGAAGTAGCTGCCATGGGCCTCGATGGCTTCGTGGCCCCATTTCTTGCCTGCGGCCAGGAACCAGGTGAGGGTCAGCACCACCCACCAGAGCGAGCTGGCCATGCCGAAGTAGTAGAGCAGCAGGAAGACGAGGGTGCAGCCCGTGTTCTCCAGGCCCTCCTGGATCACGTAGAGCGCACCCGCCTCCTGGTCGCAGGCCACGCTCTGGGCCCCAGCCACCGCCCGGATCAGGAAGGCCAGCGAGTAGACGTTGTAGCACATGGAGAGGAAGATGATGGGGCGCTCCGGGTACTGGAAGCGGTGCGGCTCCAGCAGGAAGGTGAGCACGGTGAAGGCGGTGGAGAAGAAGCACAGCGCTGACCACACGGCCATCCATACCAGCGCGAAGTCCTTGTCGCGCCGCGACCAGAACACCTCGACGCCTGGCCCGCAGCGCGGCGCGCACGAGCGGCTCTTCTCCACGTACTGGAACTTCTCCGGGTTCTCGCAGGTGCCGCCGGCGCCCGGGAGGGTGTCGCCGGGGGGCCGCGCGGGCCGCGGCGCCACGGGCAACATGCCCAAGCCCTTGTGGGGCTCGGTGGGGCCGGCCGTGGCGTTCTCCGGCGCCTCCATGCAGAGCGCGTGCGGGTCGTTGCGCGTGGGCAGCCGGGCGCAGTCCAGCGAGTCCGGCCAGCCGAAGTTGAACTGCTCCATGATGGGCGCGCAGCGCAGGCGCGCCTGCTCGCACATGGGCCGGCAGGCGGGGATGGGCGTCGAGACCTGGTCGGTGCACATGGGCGCGTAGAGCGAGCACAGGAAGAAGCGCAGGTGGCTGTGACAGCCGTACTGCACGAGCGGCGCGAACTCGGCCAGCTCGGCGGCCGCCTCGCCCTGCGACGTGTGGCCCAGCAGGTTGGGCATGCGGGTCAGGTTGTAGCCGATGCCGCGGCACATGGGGATCTCCACCACCTGGCACGGCGCCGGCCCGCGCCCGCGCTCCGGGTCGAAGCGGCCGATCTCCAGCGCCGCGCCGCCCGCAGCCAGCAGCTGCCAGAGCAGCAGCGCCCGGCGGAGCGGCGGCACGGCCATCCCGGGCGGTCCCGGCCGAGGGCGGGGAGGGCGGCCCCGCCTCACTCGGGCCGCGCCGTCCGGCGCCCCCGTGCCCGCTCGCCACGTCGCGGGGTGCGGGCCATAGCGGAGCCGGCCGCGTGTGTCCCTGCGCGGCCGGGCGCCCTGGGCAGCGCGTGGGGAAGCCGCCTGAGGGAAAGGAGGCGCCGAGCCGCCACCGCCGCCGCCGCCGCCGCTACTCGAACGGCCGCGGAGCCGGAGCAGGCACCGCCTCCCGGGGCCGCGGCTACAAGCCTCGGGGCGGGGCGCCTGGTGGACACGCCCAGGGGCGGGCCCTCCGCGCGCCCCCGGCCCGCCCCCCGGCCGGGCTTTAAAGGCGCCGCGCCTCGCAGCTGCGCTGCACTGCAGGACCAACCCGGGCGCGGTCTGGAGGGTTGGGGTGTACGAATAGTGACCTCGTCTGCCCGCTCACAGACGGTTCTCCCCTTTCTGAGGGGTTGCTGCCCAACCTCTCTCCGGGACAGGACAGTCAGCCCGAGGATTTCCCTGGCCCCCGTACCGTGTCACCTATGTTCTTCCCCAGGCGGGACCATTTCTAAGGCTTCTACGCCTGGGACGCCTCGACCTTGGACTCTGGGACAGTTCGAGCGCAGCCTCTCCGCCTCTTCACTAGTTGCGTGTGGCTCTGGGCTCTTCGCTTTGAGCCTGTTTTCGTTTCTGTAAAACAGGCAGATAATCCCGTCAAAATGAATTCACCTGTGGCTCGCGCGGGCTGCTTACCCGTCACACTGCGCACTTGAGCTCATGGCCTCTTCGCAATCCACCTGCTCCCTTGACACCTCGGGACCGCCTGAAAACCCAATCTCCTTCTGCCCCCTCGCCTCCTCTGCACTCCCTTGGTACAGGGTCTCCCCTGAGAACTCCTCTCTGCCCAGGAAACCTGCCACTTTCACCATCCCCCTCCCGCGAGCCGCCTGCTTCCTGCTGCGCCTGCAGAGTAAGGGGCCAGGTACGGTGACAGCCATGGAACATTTCAGTTCAGCTCACACCCTCCTCGCCTAAACCCGACAGCTGTCAGCATGCTACCAGACTATTACTCAGCCTGCTTCCATGGCGGCACCCGAACAGGGGGAGGAGAGAGGCCTGTTCTTCCCTTTGCACAGATGGAACCATCAAGGCAGTCCTAGGCTCAGCCTGCCACTAACAGGTGACAGTGAGTGAGTGGGATCTGAGACTGTGACCCCTGAGCTGCCACATAACCCCCCTCATCCCCACTCAGGTCGGGAAGGTGTTTCTAAGAGGCTGGGATTGCCGGGGGCTTCCTGGGGCCCCAAAGGCCCTCTGCCCTCCCACCTCTGCCCAGCCAGGGCTCCACCACGGTTCCCAGGTAGCTTTGTGGGTGAAACCCAAGTCCCATCCAGGAGGCCACCCAAGGGGCCCTGTTCTGGTCTGGAGTTCCCTTAGAAACTGCCTCCCTCCTCCTGGCCCACCCCTGTCTGCCCTCACCCATTTGGCCTAGATGTACCTGGAAGACTCAGATTCCACGTGAGCTCTTGGCATAGGTCCAGCCCTAGCAGCTGCTCAGGGATGCTCAGTGGATGAAGGGCTGAGGGAGAGAGCTGCACTGCAGGGGGCCTAGGAAATTGGTCAAAGACCTAAGGTGAGCCAGGTGGGCCCCGGGCCGGGTGTTTTACACAGTGAACTTTTAAACTCTCATAACAGCCCTGCAAGGAATTCTGTGCCCATTTTACAGATGAGAAATTGAGGTTCAGAAAACTCAAGACATTTGCCTGGGAATACACAGTTCACAAGGGTCAGGGTTGGCATTCAGGCTCTTCCACTGCATAAGGCTGGCTGTCACCACCAGCGTGAGGGCACCTGCCTGACTGGCCCTGCTTGGCCAACACTGCCCTGCTGGAGAGCCTGGCATGTGAGGGGGCTTGTGCAGCAAGGAGCCGGGGCAGCAGCCGTAACCAATGCCTTGGCAGCAGCACTGGAGCAGGGAAGGGAGGAGGAGGAGGACCTGAGAGGTTGGGACTCCGTGGAGATGCAGCCAGCCCTGTTCTCAGTATGAGACGCGTCCTTGGCCCACCTGGGCTGTGACAGCTGAAGTGGCAAGCTCCTGATCGTCCCAAAGAGGCAGCACAGAAATAGGGTAACTTTGAAACAAGGACCTGACTTGACGCCCTAGTCAAGGAGGTTCCCAAAATGCCAGTAACAACTTCCCGTAGCCCAGGGTAAAGGCCATGCCCCTGGAGTTGGCAGCAAGAGCTTTTCCAGGTATAGCCCCCACCTACCTCTTCCTTTCCTGCCATGCCTAACTCCTGGGAACCCAGGCCACGTCATGCCTTCAGTCTCCCTGGCCCAAAGGCCCTTTTCTGCTCTGTTGGGCACACCGGCCTCCTGGGGCAGACCCCAGCTCTCGAGGACAGGGCTGGAGGCTCTGCTCTGCGGGCCAGAGTCCTGGCCCACTTACTGTTGCCACTTGTCCACTCACGCGTTGTTAGCCTTCCATTCATCCCCCACTCTGCCCCAATGCCAGCAGCTGCTTAAAGACCCTGGGGACGGACACTTTATTTCTCTCTGTGTCTTGCCCCAAGGAGGCACAGATGCATGGATGAGAGTGGTGCATGGGCTGAGCCCCCACCTCACAGGGTCTGTAGGAATCAGGGGCTTCAGAGCTGCCCCGCTGCAGGCAGCTGGGTTGAGAGGCAGAGAAGGCTGGAGGCTTCCCCCTGCTACGACTGGTCTGGGATCCAGGTTTTTTTGTGTGCTTCTGCCCCCAACCAGGGTAAAGAAGAGGCCAGGGGCCCTCCCTCTGGCAGACATAGTGGGGAGGATGCCCCCAGAGCCATGGGATGCCAGGCTTGTCACCATGACAACAGCTGCTCCTGGGAAGCCAGAGGTTGGGGGGGGGGTGTGTGTGTGGAAAAGCCCCTCCCCCATGCAGATGCTGCCTGGGAGAGAAGAGGCCTCTTGGGCTGCCTGCCCACCCACCCTGCTTTGTCACCCGATCCCCCTCTTTACAAAGGCAGAACAATACGCCAGGCACTCACTGAAAAGGAGACTATGAGGAGGACTGGAGGGGACCAGGAGGAGGGTGATTGCCATCAGTGCCCACCCCCGCCCCCACTCCCTGGGCAGAGGGGGCCAGAGTAGGTGAGGTGGGAACAGACCCCCTTCTCACTCCTCCTCCTGGGGAAGAACGCTCCCTTCCTGGGGGCCCTTGGCTGTGCGCCAATGAGCTGCCCTGCGCAAGTGGGAGGGGACACCCTCCTGACCTGTGTCCCCCACCCCAGCCCTCTAGTCTTCCCACACTCCAGGAGGCCCTTCCTACCACATCTTCCCTGATCACAGCCATCACACCCCCACTGGACACATCCTGACCCTTCCCCAACTTGACTCTGACATGCCTCCTCCTGCCCTATGGCCCTGGTGCCTGCCTCCATGCCTGCCGCCACCGTAACCTGCCTGTCTCCCCACAAACCTGGGAGGCTCTGGAGGTCAGTGGGCTGGGTGGGCCCTGCTCCTGGGTGTCTTGCTGCCTAGCTTAGAGGAGGCGCCCGTAAATGTTTGTTGAATGAAAAGGATGTCATGAAGAAGAGGTGGCCAGAGATCCTTCTGGAAGAGGCTGCATGCAAGTGGAGCCTGAAGTTGGGGAAGGATAGGACCCTGGGGGACAGAGTCGTCTGTGTGAGGAAGCAGGAACCAGGAGGAGGGCCATCCCGCACCTCCTCCAGTGCTCGGGACACCCCTGGAGGGGCTGCTGATGGTGATGAGGGGCCCAGAGCGTGCACATCTGACACACATCTGCTCCTGGAGGTGGGGGGAGCGAGGGGAGTGACGCCGCAGCCCGGGCAGACAGCAGCGGGCACCAACACATGTGTGTGCTGGGCATGCAGGCCTGGGGCAAGTTAACTGTGCGTGCACACACTCACCCAGGCCCAGGGCAAGCTCCAGCCCTGGATCTGACTCAGGGTCCCTTTATTGGGAGGTCAAGGGCTGAACTAGACTGTTCCATTCTTACTAAAGAAGCATTTAAAAAATTTCCGTTAAGTAATTCCCTTGAACCCTTGCCCTCAGGTAATCAGTATCAGGGGTTGAAGTACCTCTTGCTGAATTTTCCAAAAGAAACAGAGGGCTTTCCTGGTAGCTGAGTGGTAAAGAATCCACCTGCGGGGGACACAAGTTTGATCTCTGGTCCAGGAAGACCCCACGTGATGCAGAGCAACTAAGCCTGTGCGCCATAACTACTGAGACTGGGCCCTAGAGCCCGGGAACAGCAACTGCTGAACCCATAGGCTGCAGCTACTGAAGCCCGGATGCCTCGGGCCTGTGCCCCGCAGTGAGAAGCCCGAGCACCTCAACTAGAGAACAGCCCCCTCTCTCTGCAATAGAGAAATGCCCACACAGCAACAAACACCCAGTACAGTCAAAAACAAATAAATAAAATTATTTTAGAAAGCAACAGACCACACAGCTCAATTAAAAAAAAAAAAAAGCCCAACCAAAAAATGGGCAGAAGATCTCAATAGACATTTCTCCAAAGAAGATACACAGATACAGGGTCTTTTCAAATGAATCAGCTCTTCACATCAGGTGGCCAGAGTATTGGAGTTTCAGCTTCAGCATCAGTCCTTCCAATGAGCACCCAGGACTGATTTCCTTTAGGATGGACTGGTTGGCTCTCCTTGCAGTCCAAGGGACTCTCAAGAGTCTTCTCCAACACCACAGTTCAAAAGCATCAATTCTTCGGCGCTTAGCTTTCTTTATAGTCCAACTCTCATATCCATACATGGATACTGGAAAAACCATAGCCTTGACTAGACAGACCTTTGTTGGCAAAGTAATGTCTCTGCTTTTTAATATGTTGTCTAGGTTGGTCATAACTTTCCTTCCCAAGGAGTAGGCGTCTTAATTTCATGGCTGCATTCACCATCTGCAGTGATTTTGGAGCCCAAAATAATAAAGTCTGCCACTGTTTCCACTGTTTCCCCATCTATTTGCCATAAAGTGATGGGACCGGATGCCATGATTTTAGTTTTCTGAATCTTGAGCTTTAAGCCAACTTTTTCACTTTCCTCTTTCACTTTCATCAAGAGGCTCTTTAGTTCTTCTTCACCTTCTGCCATAAGGGTGGTGTCACCTGCATATCTGAGGTTATTGATATTTCTCCTGACAATCTTGATTCCAGCTTGTGCTTCATCCAGCCCAGCGTTTCTCCTGATGTACTCTGCATATAAGTTAAATAAGCAGGGTGACAATATACAGCCTTGACGTACTCCTTCTCCTATTTGGAACCAGTCTGTTGTTCCGTGTCCAGTTCTAAATGGTGCTTCCTGACCTGCACACAGATTTCTTAAGAGGCAGGTCAGGTGGTCTGGTATGCCCATCTCT